GTTTCAATGTCCTTTTGCCATCACTGTGAAAGTATAATGGTACATGTTGGAGAATAGTACATGTTTGAAAGGTTATTTTTGTTGCAGTTTTTTGCAGAACCTACAGACTTCAAAGCTGCTGAGGGCGACGTGAAAGTGACCTTGGGTGATCTTGTTCGCATTGATAAGGTAGAGAGAATTACGTAGTGCTGTCTTTGTTCCCCTAAAACGTTATCGTTGTTTGGTATTGTTTGGACCATATATATTATATTGTAGTTGTGTATCATGTATGCAGATAGCAAAATCTGTTGGCTGTGTGGCTATGGGAAGTGGGAAAGAAAGAGCATGTGATGGGTTTCAAAAACTCGTTTGTTTCTGGCCAATTTTAATGTGTATTGTCAGACATTTCCTGCATATGACCTTATGTAGTTCCAAGCGCCGTGTAACCTCTACTAAAACTAACTAAAAAAGACATTCCCAGTACTCACGCAGATATATATTTGAGGTGTGCTGACAAAGTGAGTTACTTCTTGCTGTCTGCGGAGGGAGATACCGGCTGAAAATCGACACTGTGTTCTATTTGTAGATTTCCGATTGATGCCATTTTCTTCAAGTTTAACATGTGTTTTATGTCATACTACATGTACTTATAAATTGTACAACTCCCCCGATTAATTTGATGACATACATCCAAGCCTTGTCGTAACACCACTTGTTATACCATCTGCCCCACGTACTACCAGGTGTTGCCAATGTATGAAGAGAAATGCCTACAATATAAACATAGTATTTGCACCTTTACCGCAGTCTGTCCGAGTTGTACGCTCTTTATTTAAATAATATATATTTGCCCCGCCATACCGCCAGAGGTACACACTGCATATGGCATATGCACTCCACTTGCTGGCTGCTTGATTATAATTATAAATCTCTCTCATGAGATCAAGAGAGAGAAGACTCTCAGCGATAAACACACCTACATCATCACATGTGTAACTAATCAATGACAAAAAGACACTTTTCAAGCACAGACCACACAGATAGATAATTTCCCTTTACGTTAGGCTGTCGGGGCTATTGAACAGAAGAATCCCGTTAAACCGCCAGCCCCGCTATCCCACCAGCTTCATGCTCGTCCCAAGGGTGGTGGCAAAGTGAGGTTTGACTGTATATATATATATATATATATATATATATATATATATGGGGAATTCTCCTGAAAACTTGAACTTTCCGTAACACGGGTATCAAATTTTAGAATTGAACCAAATAACTTGAAAATGTACTTAGTACACCTTTGACATGTCTAGTTTTGATCCCTACACGGCTGAAGCTAAAGCTTGTTTGGTTTCTTTGAAAACGGAAGTGAAGTTTAGACTAGTGCGCTATGGTCTTAAACGAAACAGGACACAACAATATCGGTCAAAACATGAAATGTAACAGAGGGAAAGAAACATTGATTGGGGTAGCATTTTGTCCTTCAAATTCATTGTTTGTTCACACAAATTTAAACATTTCTTAAAGAAGAAAATGCTTATCAAACAATCATAATGTCTTTAACGTTACCGGGCAAAACATATTTTTCAAATAGAGATCTAGACTTTTATTTACAAAAATACTAATACAAGTAGAACTTTAAAAAAATATTGCTATAAAACGGGTAATTTAATGCTGTAGTTTCAGCAAATATGAACAAAATCGATAAGTGTTTTCGGCAGCAACAATAGCTAAATATAGTAGTCTTAAACGTAACAGGACAAAAGCTAAAAAAGGATGATTTGTTTCTTAAAAATAATATGCCCACATACTGAGAACTAAAACATGTATTATAATACTTCTTTGATGTTATCTGTCATGTTTTTAGAAGAAAAAGACATCAAATTATTCACTCATTGAGCATATTATAGAGACTTTTCGGGACAAAAATTGTGTGGCAGTTACAAAGTGAAACGTGAAATCCAAACTGAACTGAAATTAATTGTCCCAATAGTGAAAGCAGCAGTAGCAGTAGCAGCAGCAGTAGTAGTAGCAATAGTAACAGCAGCAGCAGCAGCAGCAGAAGAGCAAAATATCAAAAAAGGTATTCACATTTCCTTCATTATCGCTACTAACATTGTCAAAATACTTCGTTAATCGAGGCAGCAAACAGTGTTCTATCTTTCTGTGATTTCTTGAGACATTATGATGATGTTCACTTCCCAAAATGTCATGGCATGGGGATCATATTGAAGATCATATGGGACCACAACGATTTTTTGTGAGTTATGTAGCATACACTTTGGCACACTGTTGATGAATAGTTCCTTGTCTGTAGCTCGAGCAGGAAGATTGAAGCAAATTCATCACAGTATGGACCTCTACTTCCATAACAGCTCTTTATGATTTCAAGAACACGTAACATTGCCATTGAGCATCAAACAAGTGTATGGAATGTTTACTAGCTGCTTTTCAAAGTCCAACTGCACTCAGCAAGGATGAGGAATTTCAATATGTCTTTTTGCCGTTGTTTTGAGAAATAGTTTTCTGACGTAGGCCTACATCTTCCAACGTTTGCTTTTGAGCTGCTTTGACTTTTGGAAAGACTTTCATAACTCTGTGGACAGCTTGTTTGCAGGATGTCTGTACGACACTTCCTCGAATATGTTGAACCTCTTTTTTCTTCTTCTCTATGTCTTCACCTTTTTCCTTTAAAAAAAAAATGGAACCTTTCTCTAGCCTAAGCATTGTCTGCCCTTTCCGTCTGCCCTGACCAGGATTCTGTTACCTCTCTTGCATAGCTTTTCGATTTCTTTCTTTAGTGTCTTTAGTTAGCCCAGCTAACTTACGTGTTGCAACTTTGCTAGTGGTAGTGGTAGCCAATGTGAGGTTTTCCTTCTTGTTTTTCCTACATTTCTTGACTTGTTCGTCGGTCTTTGCCTTGTGATTTCACACCTTCTTTCCCTAGACGAACGTCTTCAGCTCTTTTCAATTGCACATCAATGTCACCCTTTGTTTTCTTTAATCGGTCCTGGGATTCCTTAGTTGGCTCAGTTTAAACTTTATTGTAATAAACGTTGTATTTCTTTTTTGGAATTTTGGTACTTGATAACCATGCATTCTGAGATCTCTAGCGCAGAGCACGCACCTATGGGCTGTAAAGTTGGAAAGAGAATGTGGGAGCGGGAGGGGTAAATGAAAAATTGTACCAATCAGTTTTGGAACTGAATTAAAAGAGATTAACGTGTACTATAGGGGCCTACTTGGTAGGAAATAAGATTATGCTGCATTACTTTTTTGTATTATGTATTAAAATAATTTGCAACAGAAAAGGTAGTCACAAATTCTGTTTTAGAATGTATATAAATAAAGTGAATATAAACTGATGTTATTCGTTACTTATGTGGTTTTGCTAGTCTTATCATAGTCCAAGACGATAAAATCAGCTACTATGCCCTATATATTATTGGGGCAACCCTTGTTACCTAAACTTTGGTCAAAATGATTTAGTCTGTGTAACCATTAAGACCAATGTAAAAACTTATTTTCCTCTTGTTAAAGCCAATATTAACTTTTGGTGAAAATTAAGCTAAACTGAGGACAAAGCGAAACAGCACAGTTGGGGAAATCAAAATAAAATCAAAGGGAAAGACGGACGTTACCAGCTGTACCAAGAACGGCCCAAAACGAGGAGATGCCAGGAGAAATTAGGGCCAATGTACAATCGTTTTTATTGCTTGAAATGTACATGTGTGCACACAAGCATATTATTGACAGCATGCTTGACACTAGTAGATCTACAAATTTTCAGTGATGATAGCAAGAAGGAAAACGAGGAGAGTTAGTGAAACCTGTTTGTCAAAACAAAAATGAAAAATAAAAGCAAAGCACACAATGCATTTACTTTTATTCAAAGCAAGACATTATAGAATTTGTCTCTTTTCAATTAATTTGTAGCCCAAGAACTACATATCCATCAGTTCTCCATAACATTCCCTTCTTAACACTCTTTCCATCTCTCTCTCATTCTTTCTTTCTTAATCGTTGACATAGGATGTCTTAAGTTAGTAGTCCTTCAGGTGAGTTTAACCATGAACATTTCATGCAGATAGAAAAAGGAATCACGACTCATTCAAACTGAATCTGCACATCTGCTTTGGTCGTCTGGTAAATTTCTCTTCAAGTGGTGAAATTCACCAAACTAATGACACCTTAAAGTAATCGGGTTCGCCTACTCCTTTCTTTCTTTTCTCTTTAGAGTTACCACGTCGATCAGGAGAAACGGCGCCAATATTTTTCTGTTCATTTTCAACTGAAACTAAAATTGACATGGAAAATCCCATACAACATTACATCACTTGCATCGCCCTCTTCGCCTTGTTCCCTGTGTTTACGCCTCGTCTTGCACCACCAAGCCTACAGTGTGACATTACCTAGAATGGGACATATCATTATTATACTTTGCATTCCACTGACAGAGTCTGTCTACAAAGTTAAATTACTGATGTTCGATCTTAAATATTTGAAACAATGAGCCAAACCGCCTTATCCTTGTATTTGCAATGTTTCAGACAACGATAACAAGTTGTCACCTTTTATTTCCCCAACTGCCAACCTCAAAGCTAGAAATATGTGGCATCAACGCCTGAAATCCTTGAAATGAAATTCTTAAAGAAGCTACTCATTCTATAAAGATTATAACACAAAGACCAAGTCTAAATCGTTAAAATGAAGAAATCAAGCTCTTTGTCCAATTTCCGTTCCGATGCAACAAACACTATGAAAACCAACAGTCCTTGTTTTGGCAGGATCCAAACTCATCCATTTCCTTGAGGAACTTTAAGATTTCATCATTGAATCACACACTTAGCAGTCATATAAAAAAGAAAGCAAATTTTAAAGCAATTCAAGTCTTAATCATTACTTACATCTCAATCGTTACCCCACTAAAATTGCGTGACGAAATTATTCATATTCACTTTCTATAGACACCGTTGTCTTGCCGGGGAATAGATGAAAGCCAAGTTGATTGGAAACCAGTGCACTTGACATAAAAACACCACTCTAAAATTTTGAGCTACTTCAGGCTAAAAGTAAACACGTAGATCTTAATCGTTACAACATGACAAAAATTCAATGACGCGACTATTTACCGCCAAAATTTCGTAATCGATGTAGTAATTTTGTTCTTGGTTGATGAAATAACTAAAGTG